GACAGACAGACAGACAGACAGACAGACAGACAGACAGACAGACAGACAGACAGACCTGTTGTTCCAGCCAGTCCTCGGTGACACTCAGCATCTCCTCGTAGGTCATCTGCCGGAATAGGTACGAGTACTTGTGGAGACGCAGGGTCTTCAGCCACACCGGCACCTCTGCAACAACCGAAAGAAAATCAGCTCGTTAAACACACAATTCGTTTAGTTTTTGTGGGGGTTTTTTAAAAGTAGTTTTAGTAGAGGTTATACGGTGCACGCAACTGCACAAGGTCATAATGATGAGAGCCAGAAAAATAGAGGTGTTATAAGAAAGTAACAAACATAAAAAAGAAGAAGGGGAGATAAGGACGAGAGATGTTTGATAGGAAAGAAGGAGCAAACCACACCAGAGCCCCCGCCAACCACCCACTTAGTATAGGGTTTAGGGCGCTCGCAACTGCATACGGTCATATCATGAGCGTCAAACGGCGAATGTCAACAGAGAAGTCCCCTTGCAGGGAATCTGGCGTACTCTGCTCACCTCTCTAGTTTCAATAGCACAAAGTCTGCTTCGACTATCAAAGCACCCTGGAAGTAGCGGGGCACAACAGTGTGACAAACATACAAAAGAAGTAGATAAATAATGACGATAGTATGGGTTAGGAAAGAAAAAACAGCAGTTCCCCGCACGCAGTTCAGGAACTGTTATGAGCATGGCAATGATGTATCAGCCCATTTACTAATTCTACTGAGCATAAGAACATATTGGGAATGGCCCTATACGTTCTTATACTACCTCAGACCGTCCCGTCTAGAAATGGCCCAGAGTAAAGGCACTTCAGCCAGTAGCACCGCCTCGGTGAGTATATTAAGGAGAACTAGACAGAGCCCAGTCAGAGATGAAGCGGTAAGAAAGCGGTGGCGATGGATTGGACATACTCTCAGAAAGTCAGAGGCAGCTGCATAACAAGGAGAGTGTTGGATTGGAACCTACAGGGTAAAACACCAAGGGGAAGACCACGTGGAACCTGGAGAAGAGTCACAGAAATTGATGTACAGAAAAGTGGGAAGTCATGGAATTAAATTCACCAATATTTGAGTGTTTGACTATGTGTCTGTCAGTCAAGACACAGATGGAGAGATAAAGAGAAAA